TATATATGTAGCAAATACTAGGTTTAGAAAATTTTTAAGATTAAGAAAATATTTATTCGTCTTGCGGATATTTTCGAAGTCAGAACAAAACCATGTCAGCGGTCAGAGGCCATTCTTGTCCTAGAATATTATGGAACTTTTTTCTCTGTTGTATAAAAAGACATTACTCATATTACTTTGGAGATACTTATTTCTAGAACAACATATACAGGCAAGCCTACACTGTTACCTTTTTAAGTATTTTCTTTTCTATGATGACCTGCTTTCGAAGTAATTAATCTGCACTACTGACCTTGGATTAAAAACAGTCAGTGTATGTTATATTTTATTACAACGACCATTATATCATATTACAACAGAAGATATGTAATACTTTGGTCAGTATTGGTCTAGGATGTAAAATGCTTTTCATGGAACTCGTATTTGGGGCATGAAAATCGATAAACGATAGTCGATTTTATGGAAACTATGTAATGAAATTTTATACGTGTTAACTTTTATATCGATCTTCGATAAAATGTGGTTTCTTGTATATTGAGGACACTTTGCAGATTTATATAAAATTGGTATTTTGATAAGCATAATGAATATGTATATAATACATAATATTAAAGATTTCTATAGTCTTAGGAGGGGAATATATATGTGTATATTTAAACATAGTAATATTATTTAACTGTTCGTGTGTTGGTAAATTTTGCTGCTGATACTCACCCATCAACAGGCCCAAATTTGTAGGTGTTTTTCCGGATTGCGGATCGTCCAGCAAATCTCCGGTACTATTTTGCGAGAGTGCCATAGAAATCAGTCGCCGGGAAATATGATGCAAATACAGAGAATCGATTTATCGTCTATTCACGATTATTTCACGATAATATAATATTACTGTATACATTGACTTACATTTCGGTTGCATGCTCTACCACTAATTCTGCCACGTCGTCGGTCCTTTCGATTATTTGTTGTACCTCTTCGAAGCTCCGATCGATCAAAGATACACCGGACCATTCTAATACCTATAAAATTTCATACAATATACATATATTATTTGATGATATTAAATATTAATGCAAAAATACGAAGAAAATATTTCTTGCTTTTTAACATTATATTTGCTTTCAAAATTATTTAATGATACTTAAATCTAGATGTTTGTTTTTATTTTACATAAATTAATAAATTATGTTATGTTATGTTAGTAGGTATCATCATCATAGTAGGTAACATTATTTTGAAAATATTTCTTGTAGTCTAAAAGAGAATATTCTATAATCAAAGTATGGTTTTTTTTATTATTCGAGTAATTAAGAAGTTGAATTTTTGATTGTATTTGATAAATACTTATGGCTAATTATTATAAATTTTATTATAAATTTTAGAAAACACAAATTAAAGACTCAAAAAATTATATATCAATTTTTGATACAAAATATTTTCTATTTTTTTGCCAATTATATGTGATGATTATTCAACACGTCATGTTCGCGAAGCTTCATATAAAACATGAAATACACTAAAATAATAATTTTTAAATGCTAATTGCCGGAACAGAATGTTTTATCTTGAACATGAAAAAAGAAAATAGCTTAGAAATTCCTGATAGTTCGAGACATCGGTTTGGGTCGCGAAATATTAATATTGAAATGTGTCTCTGTGATGCCGAATTATAATTGATTGTAAAGCATTTGATCTCCTGATTGTTTAAATACTTCAATTATTCTAATAATATCACGAGCGGATTGCTGCGAGAATAACAAAGACGGCGAAATCGCTACCAGGAGTGAATATAAGTTGCATGAACTTTTTGGGTGAAGCCGCCTTGTTATCCTTAAGGCCATTTAGCCTTAAGAAGATGTTGAGATTAAGAACTCGTTTATCTTAATCCATTGGACGCTATTTGTCATTTAAGGTTAGGAAGTATGAAAATTGAAATACGATTATACAGAGTCGCTTACCATCAAAGGAACTTAATAAATTAAGCATTTTGAATAATTTTTATGGATATGGATGTGGATTCGCAATCATATTGAGTAATTAAAAAAAATTTAATTTATTATATCTGACACAATGTACTCTTTCCATACTTTTATACTTCTCGTTCCGCAATATGCGCAAAGTGTAATTATATTTCAATTTACTTTATAAAATCTATCTATAAAGTGTCACGTGTTAATTAATAAAATAGAATGAATTAATTAATAAAATAGAACATTTTACTGTAATTATTTCAGTAAAAAACGGTGGAAAATAGCCGGAGAAGAATGAATTTCTAATCTTCCACATTTTTTCACAGTGAAACATTAAAAGTATTTGTAACAAAATATCGAGTACAAATGTTGGCAGTTAATCAAATATCAAATCGGAAAACTTACGAATCTTTTGTCATACATTAGAGGAAAGTGGGGAATTGCAAATTTTTATCTAAGATAAAAATTAAACAAAGACAATTATATTTATATTAATTATAATAAACGTTATTATTTAAAACATCCAATTATTTGACTTTACTATAATAATTAACTTATATATATTTTTATATATCAATTTAAACATATAATTTTTAACAAAAAATAAAACTGTTGCTATTCGGAAATCTCATCGTAATGCGGAGCAATACCGAATCAGTTTTGTTTTTTGTTTAAAATTATAATTTATATTAATAATATATAAATGTTAATTATTTAAGTTAGTTTAAAATCAATATTCTTTGAATAAAGACTTCTGTAATTGATAAATAATCATCGACTTTATTTAACTTTTTCCTTATTTTTGCAAATTCTCCGCTATATCAAAATCATTAAAAACATATAATTGTCTTTACTTTAAAACGTCTAGATACATTCTATGGACACGTGTGCGTTATTATATTACAGCATTAACAGTAAGCGTATATTGGATGCAAGCTATTATTGAATGCGAGAAATGAAAGGTTATCACTTCTCTAATATATTTCAATAATACCGTTCGCGTTTACCTCGTGATCACAATTCCACCAATCTCCTCTATGTGAAATTCGAAAATATATTCATCGTCATCTTCTACTGTATAATAATGCCTAGATCGGTCCTTTGAGAAACGTTATATCACGCGCGTTAATTACAGCACCCGACGGCTTTCAATTAAACCGCGAGTGGAATCGAATGCAAATCGTTGTATGTCAGGGAAGAAGGAAACACGTGCGATCGATACACGGCGGCTATTTTTCTCTCGAATGGAAAAGCGTAAGAGCTCAAAATGGAATCGTAACGAACAGTCTTTAGAAATCAATTTATCACATTAAAATGCAGCGATCGATTAAATAAGGCAACATTATAACTTTGTATATCCACTGTTTTATATAAGTCAATGAATTGTAATGTCTCAGATAATTATT